TCCTGCTCTAGTCTCAGAATGCTGGGATTACAGGCATGTAATCCTGTAATCACACCTCACTTAAATCAAAATTTTTAAATAATTAGAAGAAGTTGCAAAAGTAGCACAGGAGGTCCTGTGTACCCTTTACTTGTCTTCCCCCAATGATGACATCTTTCACAACTATAGGCCAATCTCTTTTCATCTTCTAGCGACACATTTTCTGGTAGCATAACTTTATTGACATTGATAAAGTTTATGGAATGCATGTGTTTGTGTATAGAAAATGAAGGCTATCATCTGTTGGTTTAGCAGATTAATCTTTTTATTTTGTTACTTTTGAGTTGGCAACTTATGTTCATGTAGAACTATGCGGTATGTTCAAATATACAGGGAAAAGCAGGTTTTCCTCTTTTCCTTCCCTGTATGTCTTTCTAGAGATAGTCTTTTTGTATTTTTTTTTTAGGCACTGGGGAGTGAACCCCAGTATCTTCCCACTAAGCTACAGCCCTAGCTCTTTTTAAATTTTGAGATAGGGTTTTGCTAAGTCATTAAATTGCCCAAGCAGTGCTCCAACTTTTGATCCTCCTGCCTCACCCTTCCAGAGTGTGCTGGAATGACAGACATTTGCCACCATAACCAGCCAGGGACAGTGTTTCTTAGGTCTCTTACTTAATGTATCCAAACCTTCATATATCTTGTTTCTCTTTCCCCACACATCCCCCTTTCCTGGTAGCATACTATATGCACAGCCTTTTTTGCTTAGCAGTACATATTGGAGATCATTCTATCGCCATAGAGTTCATAGTATTTATTTATTTATTTATTATGTATTTAGTACAGGGTCTACAAGGTCTCACTACACAGATTGGACGCACAGTGATTTTCCTGTTTGTAGCCTCCCAAGTGCTGGGATTACAGGTGCATGCCACCATGCCCAGTCTCAATTGCTGTCTTAGCACGCCCCGTGGGCAGGGCCCGCACTGTGCCCCGGGGATCGAACCCGGCCACTGCGCTCTCCCTAGCAGGCGCTTTAGTCTGCTGACCTATCTGGCTGGCCCATGATAGTGTTTATTTTTTAAGATAGCTATTAAACATTTTTCCTATTATATATTAAATGGATATATGATAACTTAGTTAACTTATCCCCCATTGATGGACACTTAGGTCGTTAAGTGTTATATTTACATGGGTTATTTTTATTATTAAAACAATACTGCAGTTACTATCAATGTCTGTTTTTATTTAGCACATTTATGGTCACCTTAACTATTAAAACATATTTATGAACTTGAAATGCCCAATGTTCTTTATTTGGTCATGTAAGTAGAAGGATTTTTTTTTTTTTTTTTTGGCTGGTTCAGAATGCCTTCCAGGCAGGTTTGAGTTGTGGGGATCGAACCGCAGCAACCTGAGCCTGACTGCTTTGTTGAAGCAGCCACTTAAAGAACTGAGCTAAGGGGCAGGCCCCCATGGTCGTGTAAGTAGAACTTTGATGGTAGAAATTTTTCTGGAGCCCTGTGTGGTTTTTGGCTTAAGTCTATGAGATTTGCCAAAAATTTGGCAGCTTTGACTGATGCTAATGCACCTGTTCTCAGTTATTTCCATCTCAGTAGTGTCTGATAAGTGGGGAAAGGACTAAGTTACGGTCAGGATGATTTATTAGGGATGTGCCATACAAGATAATGAATATGCATTGCTTCTTTCTACTTTTATCATTTGATCCAGTTTACTGATTCCATCCTTGCCCCTACCTGGCAAGTCTTATCTCTTATTTATTTGAAGTTATTTCTATCTCCCTTTACTGCTTGCCAGATTGTGGTGAAACTTCATTACTTAGTAAATACTTCCATTTCTACACAGCTTCATGCTGCTGAGAGATGAATCATTATTATCTCTGTGTTGCCAGCCTCTCTTGTTAACCATACCTTTTCTTAAACACAGTTTAAAAAAAAATCAAAACCAATTTCTTTTCTGAGCTATGTCTGGGTTTACAATGCAGTTCTTGAGGAAAGTACTGTTCTCCATACTCAGAATTTATTTTAGTCCCATGAAACACATTGCTCCTGAACAGCTGTTAAGAAGCTCCTCTAAATGTCTGCAAAATAGGAGAGAAACACGTTGATGAGCTTATCACTTATTCATTTAGTCATTAATTCATGCAACAAATATGTATTGCGTGCCTACTGTGGGCCAAGTAGCTATGGCCTGTTAGTGAAGAAAACAAAGGCCCCTTCCATCATAGGGCTTGTTCACTGGCTAGTGTGTATGTGTGGCATAGGCGACAGTCAAAAATTATTCATTATGTTAGAAGGTGATAAGGTGCCCTATGGATGGGAGGAGCCAGGGCAAGGGAATTTAGGATTGGGGGAGAGGGTCACATTGGAGGGTTTTTTAAAAAATTATTTATTTATTTATTTATTTATTTATGTGGTACAGGGTCTTGCTATGCAGCTTAGACTCATAGTGATCCTCCTGTCTCAGCTTCCCCAGTGCTGGGATTACAGGCATGTGCCACCATTTCTGGTTTCAGTGGCCGGCATGGCATGCAGTACCAGGAATCAAACCCTGGTCCTTGCATTTGTCAGGCAGGCGTGCTTAGACTGCTGAGCTATCTGCCCAGCCCACATTGCAGTTTTAAATAGAGCAGTCAGAGTAGGCCTGGGAAGGGATGTGAGATTTGATCTAAGACTTCAAAGAGCATAGAAGACCCTTACAGAACGTGTACACACACGCGCTTGTATGAAAATACCACTGAAGCTGGGTGTGGTGGCAAATTCCTGTAAGGGTGAGGCTGAGGCAGAAGGGTCTAAAGTTTGAATCTTGCCAGAGTGGGCAACTCAGTGACTTAATGATCCCGCCTCAAAGACAAAACAAAACAAACAATGAAGACTGATACATTTATTTCTTCAAGTTCTAGGGAACAAATCCAGGACCAAGTACAAGCACTATACCACTGAGCTACACTCTCAGCCCTCAAAACTGAGTATTTCTTTTTTTACAGCTGAGCTGAGATATAATTAATATACCATAAAATTCAGCCTCTGAAAGTGTACAATTTAGTGATTTTTAGGATATTTATGGAGTGTACAATTCTGGTATATTTTCATTATTTCCTCCCCCCCAAAAAAAACTATTGTCACCCATGGGAGCCATTAACCCTACTTTCTAACTCTAGATTCTGAGCATTTCATATAAATGAAAACAGCATATGTTTTACTTAGTCTAATATTTTAAAAGTTTATGATGTAGCATGTATCAGGATTTCCTTTTGGGGGGCTAAGGCCCCATTGTATTGGCAGGCTATTTTTGTTTATTCATCAGGTGATAATGACCTTGAACTTCAAATGTCCTGTGTGGACTATGGCAATCCACTTCCCCCTTAATGGAGGATTGAATGGCACCATGGGGTGCCATGGCGTGGGGTGGAGAGGCTAAAGACTCATGGTGTCCAGTGGCAGTCAGCTACTGGTAAAGCTTGATTTTGGGAAAACTGAAGAGCTACCCTCCCGAGATCCTTATTTTCCCAGGTGCTCCCCTTCTGAGGCAAGGCCCTGAAGTTCTTTTCGAGGGCAGTTTTTACTCCACATTTTGAAAATATTTTTCCAACTTTAAAATGTAACCTTGGAAAGTTGGATACTTAAGAACATTCTCAACAAGTTTTCTATCTTTCAAATATTTGGGGTGTGGTAGCAAGTACATAAGAGAACATCCTAAGCAAATATTTGCAGGTAGGTGAACAAAGCCATTCTGGCCAGGAAGGAAGACACCCGGACAAAGTAAGAACTGAGTGTAGCTTTCAAAGGAGGGTTTCCGATCCTCATGAGTAGGTGAGGAAGGAAAAGGCCTGGTCCAAAAGGTACTGACAAATTCAGCTTCTCTTCTGTGAGGGGGAACCCCTTGGTCCTTTTCACGTGTTTGTTATGTTATGTTAACGCACTAGTCCTGTCTACAGGTGCAGGGTTCATCCGCCCTTCGGCACTTGACTCAGAACTTTGGAAGTGGGTGAGTCTCTTGGATTGCTGAAAGAAGACTCGATTAGAATCCAAATGACTTCTTCAATGTGTCCCCCGTCCGACTCTGTTCCTCCAGTTGAGAGAAACTGTGCTCTGGACCGACAGGGCCTTTCCCTTTCCATCACGGAGGGGGTGGGGATGAAGGACTCAGTGCTGGAATCCACCCCCGCAGGCACTACGACTGAGGAGAGACTCTCGTGCCCGAAAGGCTCTAATTCCTGTATCAGACCAGGACAACACACCCCGGGAACAGGGTGCTGGCTCCTTCCCGCCAAACCCTAGCAACTGCGAAGAGAAAGGTCGGCTGAGGAGGGCGGAGCTACCGCATGAGGGGCGGGGCGTAGCAGAGGGGGCGTGGCAGAGACCAAGGGTGAGGGCGGAGTGAGGACGATGGGGAGGGGCGAGATAGTAGGAGTGGGCGGAGCGAGGACCGTGAGGCGGGGCAAGACGACGGAGGAGGTGTGACGAAGGCGAAGGGGTGGAGTGAAGGTGAGGGGGCGGGGATTGGGCGGGGCGGAGGCGGGGCGTGCATGGCCTCGGCCTCAGGGCCCCGCCTCCCGCCGCAGGCGCGTCCGCCCCGCCTTCCCGCTCCCCACAACGGCTAAGAGGGCGGCAGCGGCCAAGCGCCGAGAGGGAGGGGAGAACGGGTCACGACGCTGCCGGGGCGGGGATAACCCCTCACGTGGAGCAGATGAAAGGGCCGCGGCGAGACGGCCGGGGGAGCTGAGCGGAGTCTGCGACCCACAAAGCCGCCGCCGCCGCGATGAGACTGTGAGGCGTCCTCCCGCTCTCGGTCCTCCGCCGGCCCGCGACTATGCCCGGCCGCGCCCGCCCTCCGCGCCCTCCCGCCGCAGGACCATGAGGCCGCGCTCGGGCGGGCGCTCAGGGGCCCCG